GGTGGCCGGGGGCCGGGGGGGTGTTCCCCCCCGCCCCCCCCAGCCGCTGAGGCTGCGGCGCATCAGAGGTGGTGGTGGGGACCGGGAGCAGAAGACCCACGGACACAGGATTTGCCCGGCTTCGGCGCTGCAGCCCCCTCCGGACCCTTTCGTGTGGGGGGGGCTGTCGGGGTCAATCCCGCACGGGTCCCCCACGCTGCGGGTGGGCTGCCCCCGCTCGCTGCCCTTCGCGGTGTGCCTGCAACTGCCGCCGAAACCTGGGCTTAAAATTCACTTTCCCCCGCACCGAGTGCAGTTCAATATCTGGATTTCTCTTTAATGTATTTTATCTGTGAAAATTAGTGGGTTATCTCATCATAAAGACGGATTTGAGAAATGAAGCATGACTGAGATACTGCAGAGTGCAAGTCTGATTATTTAAACACATTTCTGAGCACTCCAATTTCCATTTTGCTCCTTCGCTCTATCACTTAACGTTTTGCCATCAAAAGGTTTTCCTAAATGCGTTGGCACATGACTCAGACCAAACTGTTACTGAGGTTGAAATTTATTCAGATATGTAATTTCTCAACATAGTTTATCTTTTCGCTGGGCTTTGGTGCATGGTGATGGAGATGGGCGAGCGCAAGAGGCAGCTCACTCGCGGTGACGTAGTGTTGATCGCTGGTGAGCACGGAGAGGGGAGGTGGGTGTGGACAGAGAGAGCTGGAGGGACACAGAAAGTTGGAGAAGGAGAAAATGGCCTTATGGGGAAGCTGAACAGCCAGGCAAGGATGCAGGACTGGGCTCAGGACCATGAGACCCTCTTCAGAGCATCAGCCGTGGAGACCTTGTGGTGGGCTGGGGCCATTGCAATTACATTTGGGCACTGCTGCCCAAAACAGGGTGAGGCATCACCACGGACTCCGGGCGCTGTCAGGCAGAGGGGACCCACACCTCCTTGTCTGAGTTTCACAGAGCATCCCAGACGGGTCAGGGCTGGAAGGGCCCTCTGGAGCTCCCCCATCCCACCCCCCGCCAGAGCAGGGGCACCTCCAGCAGTGGCACAGGACGGCGTCCAGGCGGGTTTGGGATGGCTCCAGAGGGGGAGACTCCCCCACCTCTCTGGGCAGCCTCTGCCACTGCTCTGCCGCCCTCACAGCAGAGAAGGCCCTCCTCAGGCTGAGATGGAACCTCCTATGATCCCCTTTGTGCCCGTTCCCTCTTGTCCTGTCACTGGGCACCACTGGAAACAGACTGGTCCCATCCCCCCGGCACCTCCCTTGGAGGATTGATCAGCGTTGAGGAGATCCCCCTCAGTCTTCTCCTCTCCAGACTGAACAGCCCCACGTCCCTCAGCCTTTCCTCAGCAGAGAGATGCTCCAGTCCCCTCAGCATCTCCGTAGCCCTTTGCTGGACCCTCTCCAGCAGTTCCCTGTCCTTCTTGACCCGGGGACCCCGAACTGGACACAGCGCTCCAGATGTGGCCTCCCCAGGGCAGAGCAGAGCAGGAGGATGACCTCCCTCCACCTGCTGGCCACCCTCTGCTTGATGCCCCCCAGGATGCCATTGGCCTTCTTGGCCACCAGGGCACATTGCTGGCTCATGGGCATCCTCTTGGCCACCAGGACTCCCAGGTCCCTTTCCCCAGAGCTGCTCTCCAGCAGGTCAGCCCCTAACCTTTCCTCCTTTCCATGTTTTCCCTGGTGGGAACGCGCATCCCGGTGTCTCTGTGCCCAAGGGAGCTCTTTGTCCCTGCCAGCAGTGCTGCCCTGCTGCGCGTGGCCGTGCCAATGGGGACCCAGATCGGTGGAGACCTCCATCATCCCTCGGAGTCAGGTGCCGTCCCCGTGACAGGCACCGTGTCCCTGCAGGCTGGCGCGGGGCTGGGATGTGGAGATGTGAGCCCCAGCGCTGGCCCTGACCAGGAGAACCGCCTGGTAATTAGCACTTGTTCGCTCCTAGCGAGCAGAATGTCTTCTCAATGGGCTGCTCTGAGAGAAGTGTTAGTGCAAGTGTCTCGTGGCAGATATTCCACATCTAAATTGCCTGTTTAGGTAATTTAAACTTTGCTTAATAAATGGACTATCTCTTCTGTCCTCAGGTATTTAGTCTTCCTGCAGATAAAAAGGGATCTCTACCACGGCCGTCTCCTCTGCAAGACTTCGGATGCGGCTTTGTTGGCCGCCTATATCCTTCAAGGTAATGCTTTTTGACAAGATAAATTTGCTTTTCATGCTAAGTACTGATTACATTATTTCACTTACAACAGATCACTGCACCTAGAATACAAATGTCAACCCGCCGGTGCGGGGCTGAGCCGTCGGGACTGTGCTCGTGCCGCGCAGTGCTGGGCTGGAGGAGGCCGAGGTTGATGTTGGGCTCTCCCCTGCCGCAGAATCACCGCACTGCTCCCTGAGCGTCCCCGTGGCTAATCCAACCCGTGTCTCCTGGTTCTGCGCTCGTCCTGAGGCCGAAGCAGCCCTGAGACACAGCGGTTCTCTCTCCGGGGCTGTGCACAGCCCACGGTAACTGTGGCAAGCGCCGGCGGTTTGCGGTTGCAAAAAGGGCTCCAGAGCCATCTGCAGTTTTGCCGATGGATGACGGCGGCGGCGGCTGAGCAAATTGCTCGCTGCCGAGCGCCTCGGCAAGGAAAGCGCCTTTGCCGGCAAGTTGCAGAGGCGCTGGTGGGGTTCGGAGCAGGAGGTGGGAAAACCACTGGAAACCTTCTGCCAGATCTGCCCTCCTGCCGGCGTTCCTGCCGGCGTGGCTCTGCCTGCTCCTGCCTCCGCGGCACTGAGAGCACCGAGGCAGCCGGCGTCTGCTCGGTGTGGGGCAGCACCAGGGCGCCCGGTGAGGCTCCTGGGGCTGTTGGGAAGAGCTGGGTGGTGCTGGCGTGGTGGAAAAGCACGTTGACATGCCGTAGAAAAGCACGTTGACGTGCCGTAGCAGGGTGATGCTGAGCGCACGGGTGGGCTTCTCCACCCCAGGGTGCCGCGCTCGGCGCTTTGCCGGGACTCCTCTCTGCAGCCGTGTCCCTGGGGCGAGCCGGGGAGGTGCGCCCTGGCACTCCAAACAGACAAATTTCAGCGCCAAAGCATTTTTGAGTTATTTTGCAGTGCCGGTGTGTTTCCCCCCCTTTAGCGTTTTAAGCAGGAAAAAAAAAATCAATGTAATGTCTCCGTCCCACCGAGGGCCTGAGGCTGGAGGGAATTAAATGAGAGCAAGGTCCTTTCGTCCCCAGCGGCAGGAGGCTGCTGGATGACTGTAAATGCCATGCTCCAGCGAAACGCCAGCGGCGGTGGCTGCCGGCTGCTGCCGGGTGCCGGGAGAGGGAGCGGAGCTGCGTCAGCCCGTGCCCGGGAGAGAGCGGGGCTGAGCTCCGCGGTCGGGCTGTCTCGGGCATTTCTGCACGCCCTGGTCTCAGTGCTCGGGGTCGTCGCTGGGATTGTGTTGAGGACTGCGCTCCTGCCGCTGCTCCTGCAGCTTCCCCAGGCTGGAAGGAGGTTTTGCAGGCGGTCGGTCCCATGGCAGGCAGCATCCCCCCGGCCCCCCCCAGGGGCAGTGCTGCTGCCTCAGCCTGTGCCGGCAGCACTCCCCCGCGGCAGGTAAAGAGGGGAAGGAGCTTTGCTCAATGTCACTTTGCAGTTTTCCAACTAACTACGTTTTTTCAAGGCGCAGTTGCATCCCCTGGGTGAGCAGAATTCGCTCGCTGCCTTGTTCCCAGATGGGGTCGGGGCCGGGGGTGCCCCCGGGGCGCTCGGGGCGCCGTGCTGCCGTCGCGCTGCCCCGCCCCGGCTCCCGGGAGGCTCTTGGCAAACAGCTTGAGGAATTAATAAATTCGGGACAGCGACCATCTGCTGGCGGGTGGTTCCCAAGCAAACGGTGAAATTAATTGGACGCAGTTAATGCCTTACAAATGATCCTTCCAAACGGGAAGCGCGGCCGGGTCGGAGCAGTGTTCCCGGGGTGCTCTGAGCTCCGACCCTGTGCCCCGTTGGCACCGGCTCTGCTGCCGAGGATGGCGCTGCCGGCGCGGGGGGGCGCGCTGCCGGTTGGGGCGCGCTGCTGTTCCTGACCCGTTCCAT